CCTCGAGTATCAACTCGAATCCACCTCGAATCCACCTCAAATCCTCCTCGAGTCCCACGTGTGCCAGATTGGCATCAGCATATGCCTTTAACCTTGAAGCCTTCGGCATGTTCGGGATCTCCAACACCACAACACCACTGCAATCCACTGCAACTCGCTGCAATTCACTGTAATCCACTCTGTCGTTCCTACCCAAAAGACCGTACCAAATTTGCAGCACCAAGTGGATATGGACCGGACTACCACGTGGGCTGAGAATGGAATATATTTAACCTAAAGAGCCAGCATGCGGTGACACACGCGGTAGGGTTCATGATATTGTTTGCGATGAGGCAGAGGCTGAAGAGGAACGCTGGGGAGAGAGGGTGGACAATATGGGCACATCGTGGCGTCGAATGCACTCCTCTCACTTCCGTCTCTGTCTGCTTGATACTTACTAGGAAGAGGCAGGCAGGAGATGGTCACTTATTCAGTCTGTGGCCACGTTGCCAGCCACCTGATAGATAGACCGGAGATCACAGGCCGCAGCATATGACGTAGCATGTGTATGGAATTTCTACTTCTATCCTACAGCCCCTGCTTTATAGCTTAGTAGATCTCCATCGATCCTAATACTACCATTTTGGCACCTTATATAAGCTTCCATAATGGTTGTTAATATTTGCCTATTTCTATAAGGGGTGGCTCTTTCAATATGTCCAGCAGAGCTCTCTCTCTCTCGACGGGTGCAAAGCCCTGATACGCACCGGTGTATACGAACTGGGCGAAACGCAAGAAAATATCGACATCAACGTCCTCCAAGGTTACGCAGTCTTCCAGAGACTCGTTTGTCCTACCGGTAATTAGGGCATCAAGCGGGGCCGACAAACGACCCACAAGGCCACGGTGGATGGAGAACCACGCTCTGTCGTGCCCCCCACGATAATTCGAATGGCTTCGTTCCCAAGAGTCTAGTATTGACGTATTAGACAAGATGGCGTAGCTTGTTTTAGATATACAATTACAAGCGCTTACTATGTGAATTGCTGGGACTTCACGTCCAGCGGCTGGTAGGGTGTGCGGGATTATAGAAGGGAATTTTTTGAATCTTGAAAAAGCGACATTGTCACCCTTTACGGTTGGAGCGATAGAACCTAATAACTAGTTTTTCTTCTTCTTTATTTCACAACCAGAACAACTGTAGCGTCCAAAGTCCCTTCATCTTTGGAACGCTCGTCTCTCAACCTGCCGATTCCGTCTTGAGTTTGCGACCTAAAGTTACATCGAAAACATCTTATATATTAGTTACCAATGTCCAGCCAGGATCAAGACCCGCTTGCTAACCAGGCTTTAAGGTTCCAGGAGCCCAGCGTTACTCCGCATGGCTTTTATGCCCAGCCCCTAAAAATAAACACAACATTATAACCTCGGAAAAATTCTAGAGTCCTAGCTTCCGGGGAACCCGGCAGCCTGGCATCCGGCCACGGCGAGGCCACAATCTTGGATCTTGGACTTGGGTGGAGCCGGGAATACGCTTGTCCTCTAGGAGACTAACCATCCCCGGCCAGGAATTTCGGTTTGACGCTCCAGGTAGATATGATCGTCCTCAACAGTAGGTTTGAGGAAGTTCCTTTCCCGGAATATAAGCTCTCGCTGCTTATACCAGTCTTCGCCATAGTGTTTCCGGCCCTAAGCTGTGTGTTCCTCCTCATCGTACGGCTCCGGCTCCGGCTCTGGCGTCCATAACCTGTGGTCTTGGGTATTACCGGCGTCGCCAAGCTCGTGGTTGACTTTACAGGGCTTACGATTATTGTGGTCATCGGTTAGGGCGGATTGAGGAGGTGCTGGGTCACCGTCGTCGGCCGAGCTGATATTTGATAAGGATGTACTTCATCCAATTATTTTTCGGCCGACGAAAGAGGCCCGTACTAAGACAACGCTGCGCGCACAATGGTTGGACCTCAGGCTGTGGCCTGAGGTGGCGGGGACAGGAGCCGCTCCCGGCAGAGATCATTGGTTATCCGCGATGATGTCGTGAGTGAGGTCGGTGTTGATGCAGGCAGCGGGCCATGGGGCAAGATATTTTAGGTCAACCAACTATCGAGAAGAGTCAACACTGCTTTGCCAGTAGTTGGGAGATAAGTACAGGGATGTGCCGCCATCCTTACTGTGCCTCCTGGCCTGTTGTAGCACAGCAGCCGGACCGATTTTACGGAGGAAATCCCTAGTAACCCGTGTTTAACAGGTTCCACGGAGCGTGATCAGGGTTCTCCACAAAATCCGGAACCGTCAAGCCGAACCCAGAAGGTCCGTCCCGGTAGACGAAGGATGGACAGGTCGTCGTCAGACTGTTCGAATGGACTACAGCGGCACCTTCTCCGTGTACCTTGTAGATGCTGAAGAGAGAATCCCTACGGACGGAAACCTCGGCTTTCTCTTCTGGTTGAAGAGCAAGCTCTCCGTCCGGTTTCACGAGTGGCGGCGTGCAGGCTGGTAGTATGTTGTGCCTGTTTTTTGGCCCATTTGACCAATTTCCAGAGGCCCGATTTTGATGCTGACGCATCTTCCACTCTCTGACGGTGGGTGTTGCGGAGGGCTTTCTAGGTGTGTCTGCCTTTCTTGTTGCGTGCTAATCGGTAAGCCTCGTAATCATCGTCCTGCCTCGATCGTTGCCACTTTTCGGCGGAGTTACTGGACCTCTTTACTGATGTCCTTGCACACCTGGTCGAAACCTGCAATTGAGTGTGGTGATGGATTGGACCATGGAGTTGACGCTTCGATGCCCGCCCTCTAGAGCTTTGATGGATCGAGGATACGAGGCCATCGATACTTTCCTCGTCTGTCAGCTCGGTGGCGTCACCTACGTTAGAAAGGTAGTCCTTCACAGTCTGTCTGAGTATTGGTGTGTTTGTCTTCGCCCACAGGCGTCTCCTTGACGGGGCTGCTGGCTGCCAGCCCCAGTCGATGACCGTGGCGATTGGTAGGTGGTCGGAGTCACACAGTCTAGAGTTCTGTCAATTTTGCAGTGGACCACACGAGATGCCAAGCCTTCGGAAGCAAAGGTGAGGTCGATTGTTGTCTCTCCGAGGGGGTGTNNNNGTCTACCAGCAGCTGGTATGGGGTGTATCCTTGGGAGGAGGCGTCATCCAGCGCTTCTACCTACCAAATAGTCAGCCGTGATCCTGTCCATGTCGTCGGCTACCGGTAGATGGGTGAATAAATACGTATCCAAAGGAACGAGATGGAAAAAAAGGGATCCTGAATTAAAGATATCGTTCGGGCCGCCGATCTGCGGCCCGAAGCGCGCTTGTTTGATGATACGCCGTCATTCTAGGCTGTTCCAGCCAGTGATACATCGAAGCGCTGTCTAAGCGCCTGACCTAGCGTCCGGCCGGCCCGTCTAGAGAATCAAGGAGCTAATTACGCTAAACATTCAGGCGATTATCAGAGGTCGTCTGGAGGTAACTTAGTTATAAGACACCCTAGCCTAAAAGTAGGAGAAGGAAGGCTCTTTATACTACGATGGGACAATAGAATGTTAGGAATTCAATCTAACAGGAACATACTTGTGACAGACGAGGTCGATCACGTTAAGGAACTTTCTGAAGGAAGTGAACTCATTCAATTATACATTTTGGTGGGAGAGGTGCCTCTTTGTGGGCACTGCTGACAAATTCTGCATCCTATTGCTCCACCGATGGCACTCGTGACGGCTGTCCATCCTGCTCTGCCCGAACGATAGAACCGTCGGCATTTGTGAAGCATGTCCCAAGCAGAATTCTTTCAACGTCCATCGTCGTCGTCGTCATCGAGCCAGGAGACTCTTCCATCAGAATGCTTGTGATAGTAGTCTCCAGTTTTTGGGTCCTTTTTCCAGTAGCTTCTGTGCTTGCTCGCATGTCCGGAGGATCCGTGGGAAGATGTCTGCAAGGACGAAGCCTTTCGCTTATGACTATCGTTGCCAGAATTGTGGCTTGATCTTGATGAATGAGGGGGTGACATTCCGTGTGGTTTAATGGAGGCTGTGGGTGTTGGTTGGTAAGGTTGCTCTACTATTTTGTAACCAGCTTTATCTTTGTACTGGGTCGTCTCTTTGTAGGCATCTGCCGGCTCTAAAGCTGGTGTAGGGAGGGGACTTCCTTCGGTGACGGAAGGGAGTATGCTGCGTTGCTTCCAGTGTTCTTTTAGTTGGTCTCTCAGTGCATACGACTGATCCCTCGCGTCATCTTGGGCGTTCCTAAGATGTCTTCGGCCGTCCCTATACTCGTCGAATTTCATCAGGTTGTATGACGCGTCCAGATATTGATGGTATTCAAGCGTTTTATCCTCCGTCTTAGCAGCATAATGGGCAAATAGGTTGAGGTTGGTGCCGTTTGTAGTGAAAGTTGTGATTGCTACATAGCCTGGGGGGTCAGATTTTCCTAGATAGGCAAGGGCCTGGTTCCTGGCATAGACAAGAGCTGCTCCATCATAGCTGCTCTGTAGTTCCGCTGTTCTCATG